TAGACAACACGGGGCTGATATGAGTGTCAGGTCTGAGTCAGCCAAAACATGACTGGCACCAAGTGACTGGGACTGACCGTCCAGCCCCCCCCCCCCCAAAGTAAACTGTGATGAAATCTATTAGATAGCTATTTTGGTAGAATACAGATTTGTGTGATTCTATATAAATATGTCTTTAAGGTCAGGGGATCAGCCTCTGTGTGTGCACGCGTGTGGGTGTGTTATGCCTGTACAACTACCTATGGTGCGCCCTCAGTGCTGGTCTGCATGTCTGTAGGCTGCCCATATATGTTGATGGGTATCTGCTAGAGGTTATTTGCCAAGCCACCTGTGAGCTGGTAAATACAGCATGTCTTAGCTCTCCTTGGCCCCTGGAAATTTCTTCCAAGATCCAGTCTTCTTTTGACCCTCTTATGTTCCTGGCATTTGAGCTGGGACCTCACAACCTCCATCATGCTCCATTCATGCTCTTGTATGGCCTAAAGAGTAAGTACCGAGAAAATAACTAACTAACAGACCAGATGATAAAACAAAGTCCTCAGCCCTTTAGGGTTTCCAATGTGAGCATGCAAATGTAAAAACAGTATACACCTGCAAGTAGGAGCAGGGAAGGCTTGGCAAAATGTGGATCAAAAATACTCACCTGTAGTATTTGTGGATCTGAGCCACATCTGCTTTGGGAAAGGAAGGAAGGCAGCACCACCAAGAGCCAAAGACAAAGAAAGCTTGCCACTGTGTTCGGGAGGGGTGGGGGAGAGGAGGGGAAGCAGACTTGGATGGTTGATGGGTGGCTCAAGGCCTTCAATATCAGCAGCTGGATTCTCACCTCCTTCCCAGCCCTGCCTTTCCCAGCTGAGCTGTGCTTTCTGTCAGAACTTCTCCTGGGCCTTCTCTGTCAGAAAAGAGCAGTGCAGGCGGCTTTGCTCTCAAGGCATCTCAGAGAAACAAAGAAAGTCAAACCGAGTCTCCTTGTTAGTTGTTATAGCAACAAAGCAAACACAGCAGAGGTACTGGAAATGCCATAGAGGCGACACTTGAAGAGCTGCAGTCACAACACACCTTCTCTGCCTGTACAGATATCTCTGCACCTGGGTGCTGGAATTCTCAGGGCTCCCCCTTGAGTCCTCAGATGATCCCTCATGAGCAGCTTGAATGACAACGTCTTGCCAGTTGCCTCCGGTGCTGTTTAATCTGAAGCTGACGGGCCCTCTCCATCTCAGACCTCTCCGGCTTTTTTAGCATGGGATTTGATATCATTAACCAAGTGCATTGAGATTATCTGGAGGTGGCTATTCAAAGTGTCTGGGCTCCACCACTACCCATGGGAAGGAATGTCTTACCAACAGTCGGTGACCGAGTGAATGATAACATGGTGCTTTCTCACAGATTCAGCTAAGTGGTCACCAAGCAGTCCTGGGCCAGCTGGGCCAAATCAGAGTCTATCCATTCAAGGAGCTTGCATTGAAATGAGTCAGTGTGCGCTGTCACACCTCCACCCCAAATTCAGACTACAGAACCCACCACCTCAAAGGAAAGGGAAAAGTAATTCCGATGACTTAGTGAAGCACAGGCATGTTTGTATTCTAGCAATAGAGGAATTGGAACCTTGGGGCTGGGGCAATGATCCAGTGAGTAGAAGTGTGTGGTCTCTGCAAACATGAAGCCCTGAGTTTGAATCCCTACCACACGTATAAAAAGCAAGGTGTGGCTATGTGTGCCTGTACCCAAGCCTGGGGGTCAGACAAGCTGGGTTCCATGAGCTTCTGGTAGTGGCAAACTGTGTCTCAAGGCAGCAAAGTCATAGTGGTGGAAGAAGACGGCTGATACCATGTTCTGGCCCGGACATGTGGCTCTATGAATCATCATCATCATCATCATCTCTTTCTCCTTCACACACACACACACATACACACACACACACACACACACACACACACACACATACATACACACAGTGTCTCCTCTCTCAAAAGTAAAATATTGTTTCCCAGTAGAATATCCCTCCATATAAGTGTATATTTTTCTTCCTGCTTCCTAAGCAATTGGCTTGAACACTTTGAGCCCGTGATTTAGGCTTCTAGGTTCAGGAGCGCACTGTGTTTAGTAACTCGTACCCTGGCACACCCCTGGGCAAGTCTAAATTAACAGCCAAACTCCAGAAATGCAAGTCATTCCCTGTGGTACTTGGATATTTCTGTGTGCTTCTGCTTTCAAGTGGATAAAAAAAAAAAAAAATCTTTGCAACCATGGGCCGAGCCTGCAAAGGAAAACATGCAGCTCACCCTTTAGTTCCCCCTCAAATACAACTGAAATGCCAACTGAGTCATGAAGTATCCCCTCATTTAGTTGAGAGCTTCCAGGTTATTGGCAGCATGGGTGTGAGCCTTTGAATCCCGTTTTAATTCTAAGTAGTGTTGCCCACTGCCTCCATCGGCACGTGTACATTCACCCTGGGGAGAAAAAGTTTACAAGACCCAAACTGACTTCAAATCAACATTCCAATGGCCAAAGGGCCGATAGCAGAGTGCTAACTGTCTTGTGGCATGGCCTGAAAATGGGGCCCTGAAGAGGGTGCAGAGGTTGGCGGCCACAACATGGATAAATAGCCTGCCCCTTTGTGCTTATGAATAAAGCTTTATTAGAACAGCCTTACCTGTCCATCTATGCCTGCTTTCGAGCAGGAAGGCAACGCAGAACACCTAATGCACAAACTCCAGATACCTACATTCTAATCCTTTCTGGAAGATTAGGAAGATGTCTCTGCCCGCAGGCTGCCTGTCTTGGGAGCTTAGTGTACAGGCATGAGAATTTGGTGGCCTGAGTCCTCTTCTGAGCCTCCCATCTAGTGGGTACATGTTCATGGGTTGTAGTGGTTGTTTACAAGTACTGCTTGATACTGCCTGTCGGGAAAGTAGGAATGCTAGCTAACCTTACTTCACGGAGCTGCTGGAGAAAGTAAATGACACAAAATAACTAAAATATTTACAGTGGGAGTCGGGGCCAGTATGGCTAACTGAAGTCGCTTTCTTATCAGCAGTTCTTTCCCTCAAGATCTCCAAAGAGACCTCGCTAGCAGCTAACTACATTCAGTAACACTTCTCTGCACATCATTAGCTTGAGACTTGCTTTGGCAATTTCGACTTCATTAAAATTATAATTATTTCTTTCATTCCCTTTCCTTTATCTGCTCCTCAACTTAATCTCCTCATTGTCTGCCAAGGCCGAGGGAATCTGGGAAAATCACTTATGAAACCATCTGAAAAGCAAAGGAAGGGAAAAGAGAAGCCAGGTATAGCCAGAAAGAAAATGAGCAGTGAGAGAGTTACTAAAATGTACATGGCAAACCACATTTTTAAGAGATGAAAATTAATACATCTGGGAGAAGGAAGAGCAAAGAACTAGAAGGTGGGGGAGCTGCAGAGAACCCAGAAAGTGCAGATGTATTCTGGGCACGCTCTGAGCACCAAGAGCACCAAGCCCCTTATGTGGACCTAAGCCATTCATTAGTTGTTAGCTGAATTCAGTTCTCTCTCCTGAAATCTCTCACCCCTGAGAAAAGTCCTGACCACTAGTGTCCTTGGGATCTCAGCTCTCTCACAAGCTGTGGGTTTAGCTCAGCAGACTTGGGTTTTTAGCAAAGCCAGAAATGTGGGGTTATAATTGGTGGCTATTGAGCCCTTCTAGTAAAGCTCAAACAACAATAGGGTTTTGAAGGCCCTTGTGGGGGCCTCTACAATATTTTCTCCCCGAAACTCTAGTTAGATTTTTGTTTCCATGAAAATAACAATTTCAGAGGGACCTTGTGTGCAGAAGTACACATTCAAGGTAAATTCTCCTCCCATATAGAAAGAATCCCATTCCAAGGGTTTGAATCTGCACTTCTATTTTCATCTGTCCACCTGACACGAATCTATCAGCAGTGACAGCTGTGTGACAGGCTCAGCTCTAGGGCCCGGCATTGTAGCTCCAGACTTAGCAAAGGAACACACAGGCCATCAACATCATTTTGGATTCAAGATATACAATGGAGCCGGGCACAGTGGCACATGCCTGTAATCCCAGCACTTGAGAGGCAGAGCACTGTGAGTCTGAGGCCAGCTGATCAGACAAGGCTATACAGAGAAACCCTGTCTGGAAAAATAAATAAATAAAATAAAATAAAATAAAAATTAAAAGATATACAATGGACACTGTAAAACATACAGTCCCACGTGGTGTTCAGAGCCCAATTCCATTATAAAAACCTGAAGGTCAAATTTAGCTGGGAATCTTGTCTTGTATTGTACTGGCAACGGCTACCGGGCACAGCAGTGAACAAGCTGGGTGCCTCCAACTTGCTTGTCCAGCCTCAAATGGTCACAAGATTCAACTCCCATTTGGCATCTTCCCAGTGACACAGCCTGGAGACAGGGGACCTTTCTCTTTAGGAGCCCATTGCCCCTGGGGACCCATTACAGGAGCCACCCGATCTATAATTGCATCTTTACTTCCTTGATGCCCTCCTCAGGAAGGGTTTAGGCTTCTTGGCCAGCCTTTGTACCTCTGCATCCCCGGAGGCCAGCAGAGCCCTGGGACCTAATAGATTCCAGATCCGCTTAATGAATGTGTGAGCAGGTGTCTCCACGGCTGGACTTTCGTCAGAAAGAGTGCAGAACTCTTGTTTCCAGTGTATTCACCCCCCAGGGACACTAAGGACATAGAGAAAACTGTCACCAGAACCCAAGGGCCCTCTGGGTGGTAATGGTTGCTCATTTTAAAACGCCTTGTCTGAGTCGTCTACTAAAAACAGAGGCTTTTGAAGGATGAGCGGTATGAATGGCTGCTGCCTTGTAAGTGATATTGAAGGGTCCTTTGAGAGGGGTCTTCGCTAAGAAGGGCGGGTGAAAACATTGATATAACTCATTGGGAATACAACCAAATGTGAGTTCATAAGTGAACCAGAACCGCAGCACTAGTCACCGAGGAACAGTGTGTAAAGAAATAACAAGTAATGAAGAGGCGTTTTATTGTCCATACCGACCGTCATACAACTGAAACACAAGGAAAATCACACAAATCCACGAAAGGACAGACAGAGAAGCGCACCGAGGGCTTGCCAACAGTAGAAAATCAGTCTGTTGTCGCGACACTGACTCCTCCTGTCCAGCTATAAAAACGGGGGGGGGGGGCCAATATTATCCAGCGTGTTTCCATGAGGCTAGGGGCTGTATCTTAAAAAAAAAGAAAAGAAAGAAAAGAAAGGAAAAGGGAAAAAATATATATACATATGTTGTATCGAAGCATTTCCCATGGCCACACACATTAGCAGGGCGCCAAGCTGCTCTTCTTCATTCTGCACTCTCCCTGGCTGTCCCTCTGTGTCCTCCAGCATGTGGATCTGTGGCTGACACAGCAGGAATGTGCTAACAGCTCTTGGCAGTTGCTGTCAGTGCTCAGACCGGTAGGTGGGAAAAGTCTCTGTTCGATGAAGCTTCAGAGGGCTGGTGACATCTTTTCCAAAAAAGAATTAGAAAGAACAAACCGTTATCTCTCTCTCTTGGGAAAACCCATGATCAAACTGGCTCCTAATACAATTGATTTAGTTGACCAGAAAGAGGGAGCATGTTCATGACCGGGAGACTGTATTCCTAAGGTCACTCACAGAGATATGCAAATATGCATCACTACTAGGGAGTGCATAATTAACGTGTCATTTGCATCTGGCCTTTGCATTCAGCCCTGGTCAATCTGTTAGCAGCTGTGAAAGTTTTTAAATTTTCATCTGTAGCACCTCCCCCAGCCATAGTACTCACAGGAAATGGGAGAAAAACACAAAACGAGACGGACTTTTGGTGTAGACACTCTTTGCAAACCTGACTCAGAATCATGCTTTCTTTCCTCATGTCATTGTTAAATAAAAGATATTGTTCAGCTTTCTCTATTTCTAGCCAAGTGAAGAGTCAGGAATCACCTTGCCCTGCACTCCACCACGTTAGTTGACACAGGGATTGGCATGGTTCCTCCATACAGGGCCAGAGAGTAAATCTAACCAGACACAACAACACAGTAGCAGCCACAGTGGACACGCAATGGGTGAGCAATGGGTGAGTGAGGGCATTCCTGTGAAACTCAGGGACGGGGTAGGAAGAGGCCTGGGAGAAACCAGTTAGTTTCTCCAGCCTGTTAGCCAGAGTTCCTTGATTTTATAAAGCCAAAATGCTTTACTGCCACCTGCTGGCTTGGAGTGGCACAAGCAGGAATTTTACATGGCTAAGCCAGTTCTCAGTGGGTACAACAGAGGAGGCAACACAAGGCAGACAGGGATGGGGGGCTAAGGTCCAGGAAGCCTAGATCGCTTAACTGCTGAGTGATGGGTTCTTGGTGCCCGTGAGGCTGCTTTGCCCCAAGGTCTTCGTCTAACTTTGCTTTCCAGTGTCACAACAGCACTGACTGAGCACTTAGGCCTCAGCCTCCATCCCCTCTGATCCTGTACCTGAGTGGAAAAACAGGTAATGACGGACAGAGCTCATCACCCACTTCTCCAATATGAAAGGGGAAACGTTTGCTTCATTTTCCCACCCAGTCCTGCTGGGGATTAAGGGAATTGCAGTGGGCTTTGTGAGCTGTAAGTTTGCAGAGTTATCACGGCCCCAAACTAAACCAGATGCAAAGAGAACCGAGGCCTTGGGGCCAGTGAAATGGCTCTGTGGGTTCCTGCCTCCAAGCCTGGGAATCTGAGGTCAGTCCTCAGCATCCATACAGTGGAAGGAGAGAACAAATCCCAAGAGTTGTCCTCTGACTTCCTCACATGCATGCCATCAATGCATGTCACACACACAGGCCCACATACATGCACTAACACACATGCACACACCCATGCCATCATTCCATCTCTTTCTCCCTGTTTCTGTCTCTGTCTCTCTGTATCTCTCTCTGTCACGCACACACACACACACACACACACACACACACTCGTGTGAGAAACAAAGGCCTGGACACTTACAAGCCTCAAACATGAACCCAGACCAAATCTCTGGCTCACAGTGGTAATGATGTTAAACGTTCCCAGGTGTCCAGAAATTACTTCTCAACATGCAGGAAATTTGAACATGTATTCTAGTCTCTTTCTGATGCCCACACTGCAACATAGAAACATACTGTCCATGGGTGGTGCTAGAACTAACCAGTATATAGTTCGGTATGTCTTCATTATAGTTTGATAACAATTTCCTGCAGGGAGCAGACAGCCTAGACAGGATGTTCAGGAAAAACCCACATCTTGAGTCAAGTGTGAGGCTCTTGTCAGCAGCTCCTTAAACTCTGGAAGCTTCCATGAAAACTGGTTAACGCCAACCACACAGGGCTAAGTAAAATCGAGTTGCTGAACCAAATCTTTCAGCAAGGCTTAAAAGCTGGGTTTGGCTTACAGACAGGAAATAGACTGGAGAGCTTTCTATGTCCTCTGTTTGCTTGCTGTCCATGTCCACTTGCTGTCCATGTTGGATGATGGAAAGCTAGTACCAAACTGGAGTACACCCACCTGAGCCCAGGTATGCTCTGGCCCACCACAGCATGGCTGACTAGAGGTGGCTTCAGTCAACTCTCAGATGCAGCTCCTACTGCATGTGACCTTGACAAAGGTCCCACCAGTTCTGTGCTGTCCCCCACCCACCTGCCCACTTCATGTCACCCATGGTCCTGCAGACATGAATTGGAAGTCTGGCTTGTCATCTTTCCCCAAGCCTTGGGGCCTAGCCTGTGGCATCTTTCTTAACTGCTGTGCAAGCAACGCCTGTAGGAGGGTTAACACAAGTATTCAGAAAACAACATAAACACCCTAGCCTAGCCACTGGCTCCGAGGATCTATCCTCCCAAGAATGCATATGAACCTGCAAGGGCTGGGCTCAAGCCCATGACAACATCCTCATCTTAGCACGTGGTCCTTTGACTCATGCTGGGGCTAGGGTCTCCTCTCAGAGTGAAGGACCATCTGATGAAACTGCCAGGGGCTCAGAACATGGGTGCCTTGCCCATTGTTCCATGCATGAGTCCCATGATCCTTACCAAGAATCAACACCATGTCTCTAGTCCATAAATCTTTGCAACAGAGAGGATGAGAATGAGGATGGACTGCTCTTGACAGCTCCAGCTGTGGCAGTCCTCTCCAGGAGGATGAAAACACGACCTAATGGTAGATTCTGGTTGGCAGACAGACAGACAGACAGACAGACACACACACACACACACACACACACACACACACACACACACACACGGGCACACACACCATGCTTTAATTTCCCGCCTGAGATGCACTTTTCCAGCTGCACTGGCCTGACCACAGAACTATCTTTGCAGGGTGCAACAGTGAGCTCTCTGCCAGTTTTTACACTGTGAGGGTTCTTGTTTTTGTTTTTCTATTGCCTACATCGCGACATCTTCCTTTTAATCATGTCATCTGCTGCATTGCTGAGTCCTCTGGCTATGTGGGCCAACAACATTTTGTTGACTTTATTTTTCATGGGTTTCCCCTGGATTTTATGATAAAGGGCCTTTATGTGTTGGTTTCTAATTCTCCTCACCATAGAAGAGGTTTTTTGTAAATGAAAACTGGAATCATGGGAGGAGCAGAGACCATGAATTGAGTACAACAGCTTCATGAAAGCATCCTAAGTCAGAGCCAGATGTTATAATAAAACTCTATTTCCAGGCTTACCAGTAGGTGGCATTCTAAGCCTAAATTTGGGACAGTGAGATTTTTTTTTTTTTTTCCCTCAAACTGGTTTGCTAAATGCTCCTTTAGAGGTCTGTGTGATTTTCAGATAAATCACTTAGAGATGTCAGAAAACCTCAGCTTGAACTCCATTGACATAGGTAATTTGAGCAGAGCTGGCCCTTCCCTTGGTTCTTGATCCAGACACTCAAGATCCATTTTTTTTTTTCAACATCTACACACACACATTGCTGATGAATGCAGCTTGGAGGACATGGGATCACGAGGGCTCAGTGGGGCTGGGGAGGTGGTTCAGTTGGTTGACTGCTTGCCTAGCATGCACAAAGCCCTGGGTTCCGTCCCCCAGGCACAGCGTCACAGTCCCAACAACCAGGATACGGAGACAAAAGCAGGAAAGTCAAGGTCCTCCTTGGCTACATAATGAGTTTGGAGCCAGCCTGGGCTACATGAGACCCTATCTCAGGAAGAAAGAAGACTTGGGGCTTTCTCACATCCTACCTTTTATTAAATGATGGTGACCCTGGGCAAGACACAGAAGGCAACAGGAGAGAACCAGATGTGACACACTGCCCTCCTGGACATTATTGCTTCCCAGAAGGGCAGCCATGTCTAACAAAGCGGTCATGTGACGAAACAATGAAATTCAAACTGTGATCTGGTTCCAGTTGAGGAGATTCGCTCCTCCATCTCAGATGTGCCACTAACCAGGTTTGTGTACCAGCAACAGTAAAATAGTCCCTGGACATCCAGGGACGCTCAGGAGAGGCCTGGAAAGTGAGGAGGAACAAGGTAGAATTGTGGGGACAGTACTCTAGTCCAGAAAAAAAAAAAAAAAACATGTGCCAGGAGAGGGAGGGATGCCAGCAAGAAGGGCTGAAGGGCAGAAGATGTGGCTAGAGCACAGAGCTGACAATGATGACAAAGGATACCTTTTTCTGTGATCAGCCATCCATCCATCCATCCATCCATCTAACCATTCATCCATCCATCCAACCATCCATCCATCCATCCATCCATCCAACCAACCATCCATCCACCCATCCATCCTTCCAACCATCCAACCATCCATCCATCCATCCCTACATGTGGTGCTTAGCTTAAAATGTTAGCCTGCCACTATTTAGAATCACCCAAAAAGAGACTCTCAGTTGAAGAATTCTCTGTCTAGGTTGGCTTGTGGGCATGTCTGCAGGGAATTGTCCTGTTAACTGACCCAGCCCACTGTGGGTGATACTGTTTCCTACTTTGGGTCCTGGACTGTATAAAAGTGAAGCAAGCTTGCTGAGTCAGCAGGCAAGGAGCTTGAGACCATGCCTCAGTCTGCCAACTGAGCCACATCCCTGGGTCCCACTGAGTCTCCTTTCTGCTTTTGGGATGTGGGTGTTATGTGACCTGCTGCTGGACTTCCTGCCTTGAACTACTGCCTGGATCTGTAAGCTTCAATAAACTCTCCCCTGTGTTGCTCATGCTCAGGGTATTTGTCACAGCAACAGAAACAGAGCTGGGATGCTGCAGTCATAGGTTCAGTGAGTTCAGTCTTGGGCACGCCCTTTTCTAGTGTAGGCACTGTGCTCACCATCCAAATCCTGCATCAAGGATGCCCCACAAACAGTGTTTCCTGCCAAGAGTGTTCAGAAAAAACTCCTGGGGTTTTGTGTAAGCACTGTAGGCTGGAGGAGCCCTGCCCCCTTCTATTTTAGAATGCCTGGAGAAAGTTTCAAAAATTTGCATATCTAGCACTTCCCTAGTAATGCTGACCCATTAATCTTGAGCCCAGAGGACTGTTTCTAGAACCAGGACTCTAGCCTTCGGCCAAACTTCGCACAGGTGTCCCTTAAAAAGACGAGTTGCTGGGCCATTAGGTGGTACATCAAGGCCCAGGACTGTTGTGGCTAAGGGCCCAAGAATCTACATTTTAAACAAATTCCCTGAGGATGCCATTGATAGAAGCAAACCTTTGAGGACCCGGAATCCAGAAAGGTGAAGTATCCAGGGTCGGGAGGCCCCGATAGAGATGCTCAACTTGGGAGGTGGCACAGTGGCACACAGCAGCTTAACCAGCCCCTGGTGTGAGCAGCCGGGCTCAGGCCCCCACGCAGGCAGGCAGTGCGCTCTGCTTACCTTGCAGATGGTACAGCTGCCCTGTGCTATGCTGCCTTGTGATGTGCTGCCAGTAGGCGCTGCGGGGCAGGGGCACCACGGTGCTCAGCGAGGCGGCCCGCTCGCTCATCTTCATCTGGAGCTGGGATCAGAGAGGAGAGAGAGAGAGGTGAGTCAGCCAGGCAGAGCCTCACAGAGACCTGCGGGAGGAGAGAGTGGGACACACGAGGGCGGGAGTGTCCGAACCACAGAACCAGCTGTCTGCACACTAAGGATCCACTTTCGGTAGTGGGCGATCTCTAACTTTGCCTGCTTTTCAGCTCCATGCTTCATCCTATTGGCAACCCCAACTCCCCTTTGGGGGCCACACTGCCCCTCAGCTCAACCCTTCTAGCCCTTAGCATGTGACCTTACTACCCATTCTGGGGTTAAGCAGGTCACCCATGCCAGGCCAAAATAATGTAGTCATCTGCACTTCTATTAAATGTATCCATCAATAGAGCTGAGCTGAGGATGTGTGGCAATTATGGTAGTTACTTTATCCTCTGAATCTAGAATATTTCCTGAAGTCTAGTAGGTATACAAGAAATCAGTGCTTAAGGAAAGCATCTTTTCATGGAGGGAGAAAAGGAAGCAGAGACCGTCTTGGAAGAACAAAGAAAGGATGTGATGGTGAACAGAGGCCAATGAGAGCGAGGCAACCAGGAAAAGAGAGTGATGGCTAGACAAGCCTCACTGTGATCCAGGCCAACCTCAGCTGATTGAGTTGGACCTGTCGCCACTGTCAGAAAACAAAAGCAACCTGTCTGCTCCGCCAAGGTGCCTTCGCTCAGCTGTCCACTGTTCTAGGCGCTGAGGGAGCAAAGGGGCCAACACAAGCATCCAGGGTCTTGAGAAGATCAGAGGCAGGCCTGCTCTGCCACAGCAGGGGACCTACCACACAAGAAAGACACTCCAGAGAAAAGCAGCTAGGACCCCATGTACGAGATGGGTTGTTGAAGTGAAGCTGTTCTTGCACACTGTCCCGTCTGAGCACTGGTCTCAAGTATACACAGTACAGCTTCTCATAGCAGGGCACAGTCACTATTTTCTTTTTGGGGGTGGAGTCGGGGGAGGATGAGATAGGGTTTTTCTGTGTAGCCCTAGCTGGGCTCCAACTCACAAAGACCCACCTGTCTCTGCCTCCTGAGTGCTGGGATTAAAGGTGTGAGCCACCATACCCAGCAAGTTACTGCTTTCTAACTTGATACCATCAGTGCTTGAGCACTGGGGAAGCCATTGTAGCTCTTTAAAAAGAGAGAGAGAGAAAATATTGCCCAAGACATGGATTTGTGTAGGATGTTTATCAGTATATGCTTTGTGATCAGTAAAAAAAACTGGAAGTTGCCTAAGTATCACTCAGTCAAGGCCTGCAGCAGTTAGTTGCTGATAGACACAAAAGGATACACCAAGAGACACAAAGGGAAACAGTTTTCCCTGGAAACAGAAGAAGTAAGTAACAGGAAAGGAAACAGGTGTGTATGTTGTATCAAGAAGGAAGAGCAGCAGACCATAGCTGTCAGCGGCATTAAGTACCTGCCCTGCAGAGCTGCATGAGAATTTGATGAGAGGATGCATGTTTGCCCTTGCCTGGGAAAAACTAAGCATAGGGAAAGAAGTGGAGGTGATGATGGGGATGATGATGATGATGGGGATGATGATGATGATGGAGATGATGATAATGATGATGATAAGGATGGAGGTGATGATGATTGGGATGGGGATGATGATAATGATGACTGTGGTGCTGGTGATGGTGACGATGTTGATGATGGTGGTGGTGGTTGTGGTTGTAGTGATGGCGATAATGAGGATGGTGATAACAATTGTAGTGAAGACGGTGATAGTGGTAGTCATAATGATGGTGATGGAGAAGATGGTGGTCACGATGACGACGGTGGTAGTGACGGTGATGTTGCTTATGATGGGGTGACAAGGTTGACAGTGGTGATAATGATGGTGATCTGCAAAGCCCACTTAAATTTTTTTCTTTTAAAGAAAGGAACTTCCTGTACATATCCCTTCAGACTGGGTAGTTTCAAACATAATGCCTGCACATTCCCTCAATAAAACCAAATGATATTAAGCGTCATATCCTGGAGACCAAAACTCATTGCAGCTGATGTGACTCAACTTGCAAAAAAAGATAATAAGCAATCACTCCAAGATAATTTAATTTATATGCGCTGCTTCACTATTGCCGGATTGAATTTCTGGTCCCTGTCATAACTGCATCGTTACCAAAATATGTCCCCACATGACATTAGAAAGCATGGGGTTTCACGAGACAGTATTCCATAAAAATGGACTCTGGGGCTGGAAGGTGGGAAGGATGTACCAGGGCTGAGCCTGGAGGAAGCATCTGTGGCCTTTTCTGCCCTCAAGAAAAGTTCCCCAGAAAGAAAATCAAGTGTTGACCGGTGATTGGTGACATCTGACCTCTTTTGCATGTAATGTGAGAGCTGGAGGAAGGAGAAAGATTAGTATGGGCACCCTCGTGATTTGATTTTCTTAATATAAGATTATACTTAATATAATAAAATTTTAATATAAAAGAAACCCTTGGGAAATAGCAGTCATTTCTAATTATTTGTTACATTACTGCAAATACATTTCGATGGCCTGGCACTATCTGGAGGTATTTTTAGAAAGCTTATTTATTTAGTAACAATAATGAAATGACACTGGTGTCATGTTTTGTGGAGAACAGCACAGAGCCTGGCTTCTTATCCCTCCCTCAGCCCTTTGAAAGAATATCCAATTCTATGAAAGGACCAGTTTTTAAACACTGCCCTTGGAGAGAAGCGACAAGAAAGGACTGTGTCGCTGGACAATGTGAAAACAACTGAATGGTGCACATCACCAAGTGGCTGTCCCCGAGCTACTTGGTGATGGATTGGTGGGGGGGGGGATTGTGGGGAGGGATTGGTGGGGAGGGATTGGTGCTCCTCCATGCTTATGGCAGTTGGTCACAGAGCTGCAGGATCAGTGGTCATGGGCACGACTCACAGGAATATCAATTAGCAGCCATATCAGAGCATTTGCATTTGGGTAGCTGGAGCAAACTGGACCTTTCTCCTTTATAAAACACTTTCCACACTTCCGCACCACGTGGCTGTTCAACCATCTATCTGATACTTGCACATTGGAAAATAAGAACCTCCTCCAGCCTTGCAAAGCACTGGGGATTCCTGCTGCAATGGGACAGTGGCATTCCTGGAAGATTTCCATTCACCGAGGTGTGGAAGCTTCAGGTTAGGGGAAGGTCACTGACAGCCATAGGCTCGTGTGCAGTCACTGGTACACTGTGGTCCAGCTTGGGCAGTCCATGAAGGCTGGGCCTGGCTTCTGGGAAATTACAGAACATGGAGAATATCATCCTGGTTGGAAATGTTTCTGTGCAGTGACACAAATACCCTGAGGAGCACAGCTTAAGGGAGAAATAGTTTATGTTAGCTCATAGTTGAAGGTACATGCCGACAGTGTGCAAGCGGCTGGTTACGTCAAATCCACAGTCAGGAGATGGAGGGATGAACTCTGCTGTAGCTCCACTCTTGTTCTCCTTTTTATACTCTCCAGGATCGTTGCTGCGGGAAAGGGTGCCTCGCACAGAGGGAAAGCCTTCCCACCTCAATACAATAAAGATAATCCTCCATCGACATGACCAGAGACCCATCTCCCAGGTGATCCTACAGTCTATTAGCCACCACAGCTGGTAGGAAGAGGTCCAGGTAGGAAGGATGGCAGAAGTGATATTTTCAAAATGTGGGCACTGGTAAGTGTGTGGCTACATCAGCAAGATTGTGTGGCGTGGCCACATCCCTCTCCAGGATAGCCATGGCACCTTGCTCATCCCCAGTTTACCAAGAGCTACTGTCTGAGGCAGCTGTAAAGGGCTTTGTCTAGATCGCCTTTGACTTCCCTTTTTGTGCAGAGCTTCCCAGCCTCAACACTATAATGGACTTTCCTCCAACTTACCCAGTGCACCCGAGCTCTCTCTGTGGGAAGAGAGACAAACCGTGTGTGAACGGGGACAAACCATACATCCTGCCTGACCCATGCACTCATGTCCCATCCCTCCTAACACACACTTGGCTCTACTGTACATGGAACCATAGCAAGAAGGAAACCACCTTCTGTTCTGTCTCTGTGTCCGCATGAGGCATGCACGCTGGACAATCTAGTCTCTCAAGTTAACCAGCTGAGGAACAGAGTGTTGCCCAGCAAAAGGGGCAGCTGCTCGAAGGTGGTGTTCTATCTCTTACTCTAGTCTTGTGCCTTGCCACTGCCTTCACCTCTCAGTTCAGCCACTTCCAACCATGACTGGATGCCATCGCACTTCTGCCCCCAAGCCTGAGGGTCCTCTCCACTTCCAGCATCCTGATACCCACATGCCCTCCTGAAATCTGCCCCAGAGATGACACCTCTCCATTTCCCTCCAAAGAGCTACGTAGGTCTAACTCACCTCAGAGTTCTGTTCTCATTCGAACCGTTTCATCGTTTTGCTAGTGCCTGTCAAGTGGTCTTCTGCCTACTGCAGACCACAAATTCCTTGCACTTCCATATCCCACCTTCTCTTTATGCCATCGGGATGCACACATGGCTCTTTCTAACCCAGACTGAGGGAGTCCAGATGCTGTGCAGTGCCATGAAATACCCAATACATGAAACGCATGCACTGAACCTGTACATGGCTGGGGTTTCAGATGTACTGAAAGGACCATGCTACCAGAAAGAGTAGTTTGTTCTTCCATGTCTATTCCCCGGGTTGTAAAGGGCAGTAAATGAACCATAGAAAAATTAACAAAATTATCGGGAGAGACAGGGAAGATGACACAGCAGTCAAGAGCACTGGCTGTTTTTGCAGAGGACCCCAGTCTAGTTCCCAGCACCCACATGGCGGCTCACAACTATCTGTAACTCTAGTTCCAGGGGACACGGCACCCTCTTCTGGTCCCCATGGTACTGTATGCCCACGGTACACGGACATGTAAGTAGGCAAAATAAAAACAAAATAAATGAACCTTTTTTAAAAAAGTCATATTGTAATAAAAAAAATAACTAAAAGCAGATCGGATGCATGTGATCACATCTTTGAACCTG